TACACTGCTAAATTAGGGACGGCTAGCGCAGATAGCCCTCGTGTAGCTTTGCGCGAAATTCCAAAACAGCCTTAAAATGCCAGACAACACTGGGTTATATTTTTCAGAAACTCTGAACATTACGTCAAAACATTTCTTGTCAAAGTTGGTGTTTTAAACCTAAAACATTTCCTTGAAGTGCAATGGTAAGTCTGAGGGCTTATAACACTACAATTTGGGTTTCAATACACGTGGTAGGTAAATCACTGACAGCCCATTGTGTAGCTTTGTGCTTAACAACAAATATATATCTTAACAAAATAAACCTCAAAATGAGTTTTAAAATATCACCATGTATTATGTATAAAGATAAATTAAAAACAAAAATTATTTCACATTAGTAAAATCACAAAACTTAATGCCGTTTGATATAAGCAGAATAGGCATAAAACAATGAAGCAATGACCCGTATATAGTGTACAAAAATATAATGAATTGTAACATAACTATTTTAACAATCGTTTTAAATTAAGGACAGTTAACTGTTAACCATTTGTCTTCCTGCCCAATCTTGATATAAATTCTTGAGATTATTATATCCTTTTAATGATTATACTAGTTCTGAATCCCAAAGCAAGACATTTAAAATAAAAGTACCAAGTTATAAAACATAAGTTTTATAAAGAATTAACATACAGTGACAATCACACTGATTTCCTTCCAAGGCCTGGTATGGCCTAATGGCTAGTGGGCACGCGACTCGCGATCTGCCGGTCGCAGGTTTGCATCCCGGGGGTATTATAATGTGATGGTCAATCTTACTATTCGTTGGTGAAAGAGTAGTTCACGAATTGGCTGCTTTAACTTCAACATTAGGGACAACTAACCCAGATAGCTTTCAAGTAGTTTTGCGCGAAATTCAACAAACTTTCTCTAATTTAGTGGTGATTTATGTATTTTTTGTGTGTGATAAGGCAACTTCATATTCTTCTTATAATCTCAAAATAACTCCTAGAAATAAAACTCATTGTGCTTGTTTAAATAACATGTCAAGTCATATCACCAAAAGGTAGTTACAGAAATGTAAGTGAATGAGTGAAATACAGTTAATTGTGAAAATAATAGTTAAATGTGTAGCACAAACCAAAACCCGGAGCGTTTACAGAAGGGATGCATTTGTTCTTCAGATGGTATCTGATTAAAAACGTTATATATTCAATATTCATTGAGAGTTTTCTGAGTTATCGGTTACTTCTGCTTCTCTTTCTATGACATTTGGATTAAATAAACTTTCAATTATAAATTAATCTTCCTCTCTGTTCTCACTTCCGACTCAACGTCATTATTTATAGTTAAGCATGAGTACAAACTGTGTAGAAAATAAATGTGAAATTATTATTATGTTTGTTTTTTATTGTAGATGGCAGAAGCTTGTGAGGTAATGATTTTGTCCTTGTTAGGAAGGTTCCTATCCTGTGAGTGGTTGATCACTTCTTTTGAGGTGGCACTGCTTTCATCGGTGAGTAACTCTTCCTGAAGAAGAAACTTTAATTTGTTTATTTCTCTTCTTTTTCGATATAATTATAATTAAAATAGTAGAGACCTACCTTATATCAGCATTCAGAAGTTTCATTGACACAAATGACTGTGCAGAGTCAATTAATGAGTATTTTGTAAAACTTATAAATCTATTCTTCATGTCCTACTAAACCTCTCAGACTGAAAGCTGTCTGGAGAAGGTTGAGTGCGTAGTGAAACATTAACAGTACGACAATAACATCATAAGCAGTGTAGCATCAGATCTAACAAGTTAGCCGCACCTACTCGGAGTGGAAAACTATTTTATGTCATATTTTAACTGAGGGAAGGTATTTAAGTAGGTTACTTTGATTCTATAGGCATCGGTAAATCCTATGAATTCGAATGAATAGACAGCTACTTTGAAAATAAATGAAAAATCAGAACTAAAAATACAGTATAACGTCAGTTTCCGTTTAGAAATATTGAAATAAATGGAAAACAGTAAAATGTATTGTTAAAACGATAATTTTCTTGTGGAAAGACTTGTAATATAGAAATCACCGAAACGACATTTACCTTACAGAAAAAGGTAAAAAAATGACATCCAAAAATGTAGGAAAATACATTGATTCCGTTTATGTACATGTCCCGATTGTGATACTTATCTTCAGTTAGATTACTTCACCAAACCCAGATTATTTGTCATATGTTTTATGTATATCTATTTCTGCTAAATCGACAAAAAAGACCGGGAAATAAAATTATTCGAGAAATTGAAGCACCACGAGTCGTTAGCTAGCTGGTCACGTGAATGTGGATTGGGAACAAAAAATATAATAGTTTAAATATTGTAGTTGATTGAGCAGTAGGTCGGATGTCGTACAGAATGTGAAATAGAGTATCTTATAATTATAATAAGGCTACAGACTTGCGTACTAGTTGTATTAGAGAAACAGCGCGATCAAAGCATGATTGAGTTGTTTAGTGCTCATGGTTATACTTTTCGTGTAATTAATGGGAAAAAGCAGGTCAATATTGATTTGTAAATACATTTTCAAGGTTTTACCTAACTATGTACTATTACAATGATGCAAAAGAATCAAGTGATTAGGTCAGAATATTTCTATGTAGTTTCTCCTGAAGACATTTATAAGTTACCCTTGGAAACTAATTACTTAAGTTTGGTATTGAATTAACACTTTGAATGTTTTGGTAGTTCTTCAAAGACAATTTGGAAAACAAGTTTCATTTTATTTTTTCCTAAAAAGATAATACAGTATGATGGATAATATTAAGATTATTGTACTCCCTTGTTATAACAACTACCCTAGAATATTCATATAACTAATCGGATAAAATAACAATAACGTTTTAACAATGTGATTGTTTAATGTGATAAAAGTTGCCTTACTAAGAATAACGCTAAGCCTCGATTGATAGAACACTTGCTTGGCGTTCGAAAGATCACGAATTCATTCTCCCATGCGAGCTCCGATAAAAACTACAAAAATATCCTCTAACAGCACTACCTGGTCTTACAGAAACTATTGGAAGAGAATAAAATAATGAGTGAAAAATCCTCTAACACCACTACCTCGACCTACAGATACTATAGAAAGAATAAGAGTAATGCCAACTTCTCCTACAGAAACTAGTAAACGACAATTACATTAAAGCCAAACATATCCTCTAACAGAACCACCTGATAATACAGAAAGAATAGGAAGATAATAGAAAGAATGCGAGAAAAATCCTCCAAAAGCACCACCTGGTGTTACAGAAACTATAGGAAGAGAATAAAAATATTGCCAGAGATATCTTATAACAGCAACAGTTGGTTCTCCAAAAACTATAAGAAGAGAAAACAAAGCTTTGAGTATGCACTAAAATCACTATCTGGTGATACACAAATTATAAGAAAAACATAACAATAAAGACAGAAATATACTCTACCAACACCAATTGGTCCTACAGAAACTATAGGAAGAGAATAACAATAATTGAAGAATAATCGTCTAAAAACATCAACAGGTCATAAAGAAATTATGGGAAGAGAGTAACAACAGTGTCAGAAAATATCCTTTAATACTACCACCTGGTTCTTCAGAAATTATAGGAATAAAATAACAATAAGGTTAGAGAACCCTCTAATATCACCACCTGGTTCTTCGGAAATTATAGGAATAAAATAACAATAATAGCATAAAAATATCTAAGAAAACCATCTAATCCCATAGAAACAATAACAAAAATTTCCGATGTATTTTCTAAGAGCACCACCTGTTCTCACAGAAACTATAAGCAGAGAATATCATTAATGCTAAGAAAGTCCTGTAAAATAACATTTGGTCATACAGAAACTATAGGAAGAGAATTACAATATGCGAGAGAAATCCTCAAAATTACCACGTCGTCCTAAAGAAACCATAAGCAGAAAATATAAATAAGCCAGAAAACACTCATGCATCAGCACTTGGTAATGCACTAATTACAGGAAGACTAAAAACAATGCATCGTATTTCATTGCCACCTTCTCTAAAAGAAATTATATGAAGCGAGTAATAACAATACCAGTAGAATGCTTTAACATCACTTCTGATCCTACAAAAACTATACAAAAATAATAATATTCTATAATCACAATTTAGTGTTTAAGAAACTATAGGAAGAGAGTAACAATAATGCCAGAAATGTCCTCGAACAGTAACATCTGGTACTACATAAATAACACGCAGAGAATAATACATTTGTTTATTTTTCAGAGCAAAACCACATTGGACTATATGTTTTGTCTATCGCGGGGAATCGAACCCCGGATTTTAACGTTGTAAATCCGTAGACTTATCGAAGTCCCACTGGGGGACGTAAAGAAGAAGAATAATGTTAGGAAAATCCTGTAAAATCAACATTTGGTCTTACAGAAACTATAAGAAGGGAATAATGATAATGCGAGAAAAATCTTCTAAACCACCATCTCGTTCTAAGGAAATTATATGAAGAGAAAATCAGTATGCCCGAAAAATCTTCATGCATCAGAACTTAATAATACACTAATTATATGAAGAAAAGAAGAATCATCATCATAAAGTGACGTGCTTTGTAGCGTAGGCGACAATGTCCCTCCACCTTTCCCGGTCCCAGGCACTTGTGATTACATCCTCTTTGTGTAGCCATATTGTTAAACTGTCCAGGATCTTCTCTCGCTGTCTGCCTCTACTTCTTTTCCCCACAAATTTCCACGTTGTTACCAAATGTTTCATCCCCTTTCTCCTCATCACATAACCAAAGAATACTGCTTGTCTTTTTCGAACTTTTGTTATCAATGTTCTTTTTGTTTTTGATTGTTGTAGAACTTCTTCATTTGTTTTCCGGTCTTTGTAGGAAACTAATCATTCGACACAGGAACCATATTTCAGTTGTGTTAAGTGATTTTCCGTTTGTTTGTTTATTGTCCATGATTCGCAACCGAACATCAAGATTGGTTCGATGTAGCAGCTAATAACTCTTTTGGGCATTTTCATTGATATACCTTTGTTAGTCAATATATTTTTCATCTTCATAAATGTTGTCTTAGCCTGTTGAATTCTGCTCTTGACCCCATTTTGACATCAGCCATCTGATGTAATCCATGTCTCTACGTATTTGAACTTGTAGATTTGATTGAGAAGGGTTCCATTTAGTGATAAAGTGCATTTTGGACTGTTTTTTTTTCTTTGACATAACCATGAATTCTGTTTTCTTGGTGTTTAGGCCAAGTCCCATATTTTCACTTTCTATATTTACAATGTCAAGTAAGGACTAGTTTTTTTCCATTCCTGCTATTAACGCTGTGCAATATTGTTTACATTATTGCTTCCAATGCTTATGCCTGACATGTCTTTTATCTCTCTCATGATCATTTCACTGTACAAGGAAAATAGATAAGGAGATAACATGCACCCTTAACTAACTCCTCTTTTTATCTTCTGAAATTGGCCAAGCTCATTCTCAACTCTGATGGCTGCTGTTTGTTCGCAATATATATTTTTGATTATTCTCATATCTTTATCATCTAAATTGATATTTTCAAGAATTCTCATTATGATTTCATGTCTCACTTTGTCAAATGCCTTTGTATAGACTATTAAGCAAGGATACAAATCTTTCTTTACTTCGATTGCACGTTCTATGATGGTCCTCAGGATGTAAATTGCATTGGCTGTGCTTTTACCTTCGACAAATCCACATTGTTCCTCTACTATTTCAGGTTTGATTCTGTTTTTTGCTCTCATCATAACTATTCTCAATAATATTTTTGTCAGGTGACTCATAAAACTTATTGTTCGGTGTAGTTCACATTCAAATGCACCTGGTGTCTTTGGTAATACTATGTATATTGATTTTGATAAGTCTGTTAGTATATGGCCTGTTTCATAGATGTATAATAAACTTGTGACCGTGTCAATACCAAACCCAGCTAATTCCTCAAGCATTTTGATCATAATGTTGTCTTGTGTGTGGAAATTTTTAGCTTTAATTTTCTTTGTTGCACTTTTTACTTCTTTTTTTCAAAATAGGAAGGTCCCCAAAATTATTCCTGAATACATATATATATACAAATTTTCAATTATTTCATCATCATAAAGTTCCTTGTTGTATTCTGACCATCTTTCCAAGATCTTGTCCTTTTCCATGATAATGTCTCCTTCCTTTGACTGTAGGCAACCTGTTGGTGAACATTTCTTTCTCCCACATACTCGGTCAATTCTCATGTACATTGTTTTGTGTCTTGATTGAAAAGCTCTTCTATTTCTTTGCAGCTGTCATTTAACCATTCCTCCTTTACTTGTATGCATTTTTTATATCTCTCTATTTGGTCAATTGTATTCCTCCCTATTATTCCTGATTTCTTTTCTTTTTCCCATTAGATTCAAAATAACATCTGTCATCCAATTTTTCTTACTTCTTCTTTGAACTGGTGGTATTGTGTCTGTGGCTGTTTGGTTCATACATTCTTTCAACAATTCCCATTGTTTCTCAACATCCTCTAATCATTCTAGCACCTTGAATTGGCTCTTTAATAATACTGAAAAAGGTGCCTTGATTGCTGTATTTGATTTCAGAAGTGCCAGGTTGAGCTTGGCATTTTTGACTGTTTTTTTTCATTTTCTTCAGCTTTATTCTGATCTTAGTAAGCACTGGATTATGATCGCTGTTACAATCAGCCCCTAGTAAAGCTTCGCATGTTAACGTTGCATTTCTAAATTATTTCTTTATTACGATGAAGTCGATCTGGTTTCGAGCATTGGCCCCAGGGCTCTTCCACGTCCATAGTCTCCGTTTGTGCTGTCTAATCCAGGTGTTTCCGAACATAAGTCGTACATTTTTGCCCATTCTATTACTTTATCACCTCCCTCATTCTTTATTCCCAAGTCATATGGACCTACAATGTCTTCCACTCTTTCTTCTCCAACTTTAGCATTAAAGTCTCCTTGGAGACTTGCATTGTTTCATGGCAGTTTCCAAATCATCGTAGAATTGATCGATTTCGTCTTCGCTGCTGTCTGACGTTGGAGCATAAACTTGAATGATGTTGGAATCAAGTTATTTAGTGCTTAATTTGATCATCAGCACTCGATTTCATATTGCCCAATATCCTTTCATGGCCTTTGCATATTCTGGGTCTAATACAAATCCAACGCCTTTTTTCTGTCTTCCTTAATAGACAATGGCGTACTTGTCTGATGTTATAGCTCCTGCGCTAATCCATCTAACTTCGCACAGCCCCAGAATGTTGATTTTTAATCTTTACTTTTCTCTCTTAACGTTGTCCAGTTTGCCACAGCGATACATTGTTCTTACATTCCATGTGGTCAAATTAATGATATTCTTGTTTTTGCCAGCAGTAATAGGATGACGGTCGGTTGTCACCTATGACTCATGTTTTTCTCTATCGGACGAAGATGCTCCGCTGGACTCTCCCTTCACGTCGTTCTGAAATCTGGAATGGTTCTGGGTCATGATTATTCTTTGGAAAGTACAGCATTGGTTTCCTATTGCCTTTTGCCGGTTTGTAAACAATTTACTCTGGTAGCCGTTGTACAGTCAAGAATATCCCACAAGGCGGTGGGGCTGTGGATGATCGTTGACTCATGGGTGTTAATCCGCCCTTTGACAGGTTTTGTTTTTAGTCCTGCCCTGCAGGGATCCACTACCCTCTTCATCTGGCTAGCCAGATGAGGGTGCAGGTTTAGTCGCCGACAATCTGAATATGAACAGGTAGTACTGGATTACATATTTACCAGTAGCAGAGAAACTTATCTGATAATAAAAAGAAGGATAGCGTCAGAAAAATTGTTTAACAAGAGGTGTTACAGAAACTGAAGAAAGTGAAGGAAGAAAATAACAACAATACCTAAAATATCATCTATCATTTCCAAGTGTAGGAAGAGAACAACAATAATTACAAAACATCTTCTAAAATAACAACATGATTCCATAGAATATATTGGAAGAGAATAATAGTAATGTCTGAAATGTCCTCTAACACAGTGTTTCTCAACCTTTTTTTCCTCGTGGCTCCCTTTTGAGTTTGATTTATTTCTGTGGCCCCACCCTTCGTAGACGCTGTTACTTAGGAAATAGTTACTTTATTTCCACACTGTTGATTTATAATATATTTATAAAATTATTTTTAC